TCCAGCAGACCAGACCCAAGGTCTAGGCCCGGCTTCTGGGGGGGAGCGTTAAGCGATAAATAAGCGATAACATTTTAATGGCAGCAGAGACGCAGCCTAAGCACATGTTCGAGCCAGGCCTGTTTGTGGGTAGGTGGATGGCTCCGTGGCAGACTGTGGCGGCTGGGGCCTGGTCATTACTCAATCAGCAAGCCATAAATGCAAGCTGATTAATGCAGCCACCAGTCCGACGACAAGTGCAACATTTCCGGTGACAATGATGACTCGTATGAGATGTGCAGACGACAAAGTCGGGAACGAGATAGAGGCTGGGACCGGGACAGATACAAATGAAGACGACGCGTCGTCATGCAGTCTGCGGATCTGCAACTGGAAATCAGACGACCGGAGGCCTGCCCCCGCGCCTCATTTGGATGCCTATGACAATGACAAGTGTCAAAACGCAGGTTGCGCTCATTTAAATTGGCATGATTTACGAGCACCCAGGCCAGTCCGGCCCGGCTCCCGATCCACTAGTCAGACAGGGAGTCATCCGTTTTGGAAAATTCCAACAACAATACGCCGCGAAGGGAAATGACAAACAGGAGCCCAAAGACAAGATGCTGACAGTCGAGGACGGCGAAGGCCGAAGGGATCCGGAATATAGTTCTGGAACGGATACTCGACTGCTCTCCTGCTCTCTTGCCCTATACTCCCTTTTTTTGTTGTTGCTGGGGGCCGAGAGTTGCCTCATGTTGTCCATGCCCATGGCAGACGCCGTCCTCGTCTGGTGTGCATGCCAAGTGTTGAATAATTTGTTGCGAAATATTTCTAGTTACACGTTTTCGGGCGACTCCAGCACACCCCACAAATGAGCCCAAGACGATCTCAGAGATTGGTGAAGGCAAATATTTGATGGATTATGCAGTTGAAAACTGAAAAGACTGAGTGGCTGTTTTATGAGATTGATTTTTATTATTCTTGTTTTTATTCATTCAAATTCAAGGCGCTCTTTATTCAATTTTGTTATATTGTTTTTTGGGAATGTCACATTGTTCGTCTAAGTCATTGGAGCTTGTTACCTTTTTGATTTGTCGGGTGCACCACTGGTTTCCTTAGTTACCAGTGCTGTACCCTGCTCTGTGGCGTGCTTGTTAGTGTGCAACATGCTGTTGCAACGCCGGCGACTGCGGCTGCAACGGCGACGGCGACGGTGACGGTGACGACGATTGCGACTGCGTTGCTGCGTAATTAAGTGGGCGACAGTCTGGTAAATGCAAATTTCTTAGCCTTGTCGCGCGGCTGCTCGTTGCAGGACATGGCCAAGGCAGATGGAGTCGACCGATATGCCCGATAAGCTGTCTCCATGGCGCTGTTGCTGCTGCTGTTGCTGTTGCTGTTCCTGTTGCTGCCTCAGCGGCAGCGACTGCTTGTAGACGGAGCGGCGATAAGCATTCGCCTATGATCTATGATCTTGACCTTGGCAGCTTGAGGCAGTTGAAGTTGCTGGGGGACAGAAGCAGCACAGAATTCGCATACGCAATGTGGCACATTCTTAATTAAAATGTCAAAACGGGTTTAATGTCGTTAATGAACGAACAGCAGCGGCGCAGCAGCTCTCTGCAGCTCGTTAGCAATGTGTACCCGTACCGGGCCACTGCAACTTCCCGAATTTGACAATTCTGTGTCCCCCCGCAGAATAGTTGAAATTCCTTGGGTCTGTTGCTCGTTTGTTTGTGGTTCGTGGTTCTGTGCGGCTTTTGATCGGATTGCCGATCTGTGCTTTGATTTATCGTCAAATGTGCGGCGTTTTCTAATAAAAGCAGCCGCCGCCGCTGCAAGAAAACGGAATGCTTGCCCCATTGCTTTGACAGTTTGCGTAGCGGCCATTGATTTATAGAAATCAAATCGGAGACCAGACCCCTTTAGGTCGCTATCGAACTGAAACTATGGCAAACTACGAGTATGCTGAACAATGGTACACCGACATTTCCTCTTTTGGCTTTTGCATAATTAATGATCTTGGTTTTTATTTTTAAATGCAATTTATATGAATGAATATTGGAATATTGAAGATTAATTTAACCCTCCATTGATGATCCAAAATGATGGTACTTTGATGTTGTCTAATTATGTAAATGTTTTCTCCTCCATTGTGTCTCGTTTATTATTATTAAAATGCTCGTTCAAGTGTAGGGCTCCATACAGTCCCCATACGTGCTTCCCCCACCATCTTGACGCAAGTGCAACCACAGAGCCAGCCATGCTATGGGGGATCCCAAGTCTGCAAAGTTGTGTGATTTATATGGTCGGGGCCGTGTGTTTGTGCTATTTTTGTTGTACTCTTTGTGCGCGCTGCGCTTTTTATTGTGGCACAATTTTTATTATTTTTATTGGTGCGCACTCGAGTGGATTTCGGTGCATGGAGTGGAGCAGTTGCATGCCAATGACGCACCCGCACCGGCCGACAGACTGGCCCCCAAAGAGGCAGCAACTGTGTGAGGGATACGAGTATTGTATGCATACGAGTATCCATATCCAGACGAATCGAAATGCATATATACTCGTACACTCGTACACTCGTACATTTATTATTTTACTTGGCCTGCTCGCATTTTGCTGCTGCAACGATCTGTAGACACAATAAATTACCAATTATATTTTCATTTCATATTTCTGTCATTGATTTCGTTGCCTGCCTGCCTGCCTGCCTGCCAGACTGGGGCCGAGCGTGTGCCTGAGACTGAAGGCAGAAACTGGGGCGGAGTCACGTCTGGAGTCCTCTGTTTTTGCCTTTTCTCCATTACAAATATTCATATCGAATGTGGGGCTATAAGTGAATATTTTGTTTCATCAATCGGATCAAATTGCAACGAAAATAAGCCAGAAATGAATGAATCCATCCAACCCCGGCACCCTCTGAGGCGTAACTTTAATGAAAGCCAGCAGCCGGAAAACTGCAATCTTCACTGAAAGCCCAGTGCCAACCCCCAAAGCCCAAGGCTCAAAGCTGGGGCGAATGGAAAGCGCGAAAAATCCCTTTGTTAGACTGTTGTTTTTATTTTCGTCTGGGCCCTAGACGCTGTCTATATTTATTTCCTTTGCCGCTCTATAAAGCCCCGCCCGGCAGCGGCAGCGGCAGGGGCAGCTGGCTTTGTCCACAGATTCCCCGTCCGTCCAAATGATTCGGGAATGGAAATGGGAAATCAAGAGCCGCCGTTAAAGTGTCTAGGAAATTGTGCATGCATTAAATAAATGAAACACTCCCAGACAAAGTGGCCAGGGGTCGGTCGGGTCAAGGGATAACCTGGACCGCCGGTCCATGTACAAATTAAAATGGGAATAGGAGTTGGGACTGGGACTGGGACTGGGAATGGGAATGCGAATGGAAATGGGAGCGAGTGGGCGAAAGGCCAAAGAGCAGGAGACTCGATTCAGTCGAGAGTAAAATTTAAAAAAATGAAAAGCGTTCGTTCTACAATAACTCTGGAATGGGATAATTTCTTGCACATTCCTTTCATCTTTCTTTAATCAAAAAGCAGATTCCTCTAGGAGAGCCTTTCGGTAAGCTCACAGAGGGCTACAACTAGCTGCCAGTCACTGTTTTACTCTCAACTTGGGAGGCTTGAGAGGTTCTACCAACAGTCAAAATTAATTTTTAAGTTGTCCGTCATTTTGTGATATTTTTTGCATGGTTCGTCAGGGTCTTTCTCAAGTTTTGCATGCGCTTTTAATAGCCTAAGCCAATTATAAAGTTATCCTAAAAAAAGGATAGCGGTACCAGAAACTAACAGAAAACTGGGACCCAGCCCGAGGACCGACGACTGTAAGTACTGCACGTAATTCAATCCCGGAAGTTCAGTTGCCTCCGGCCTGGAGGCCTCCCTCTAACCCGAGTCCGATTCGATCTTTTTGTGTGGGGGTTCCAGTTTGAGCCAAACTATTCTGGGCTGGTTGTCAGGTGGGACTCTAATTAGACTCCACAATTTTCATGGTACGAGGGAAATTGGCGTTTTCGGTTTCCTCTATATTTTTTTGTTGTATTTTTTGCATATTTTACCATAATTTGCGGCTCTTGTTTGTCTGGCATTCGTCCTCCTCGCACACCACACACAAATTGCGAATGAATTGGAAACTTTGGAAACTAACGGCAATTAAAGTATTTTCTCCAGCGAAAACCCCAACCAAGCCCAGCCCGAAAGCGAACACGAACCCCAAGACGAACCAGAACCCCCCAAAAACATGGACTATTTGGCTGACTGTGCGTGTAATTATAATTTTCTTTAAGTCGGTTTGTTCAAACTTTTCTTTATGTCAAACTTGTGCCCTCCCCCTCTTTCGTTCTGCTGCCTGTCTATATCTGTTTGCAACCACAAATAATTTTGTGGAAAAGTTTCCTCCGTCCCTTTCCTTTGCCTCTCCTTCGCCTTTTTCTTACTTTTTTCCATGTTGTTGGTAATTATGCTGTTTGTGAGACGCAAGCAAACTTTGGGGGCAACATTGTCTGAGTGTATTAGTTGTAATGTGCTTCGCTTGGCCCGAAGGAAACGAACAAGTTGCCAAACTTATGACAACAAAAACGATGGCAACAGGAGGCAAGACACGGACAGGGTTCCAGGCACAGGTTAAGGCATCCGAAAAAGGTCCCGAGACTGTTTATATTTTGAGGCTCACCTTTCGGTCCGGGCCAGATCCTTTCGCTAGAGAATATGTCTTATTAGCAGAGCGGCAGAGCCAGCCAGCCAATGGCAAAACTTTCAAATGATTTCCATTCATCAAAAGTTCGGCTACAAATTTTCAGCTAATCATGTTAATGATGAATGGAAGTACAACTTTATCAACTGATTTTCCCCACACAATAGCCCCGGCTATTTTATACAATCACTTAAGCATTTTCGGTAACGGAAATGTTTGGTATTTGATGAAACTGTTTTCTTATTAACATAGCCCCCATACTTATGGGGACTTATCCGTGGTGGGATTTATCCACCATATTCTTTGAGTATCTCCAATGAGGTATTGTTGCTCACATGGTTGAAGTAGGAAAAGGCAAGAAACAGCCAAAGCGCAGAGTAAACTGTGAAAAATATCAAAAAATAAAACGGATTGGTTATTGAATTGAATTGTATTTTTCGTACCTATCAGAAACGTTAAAACTAAAACTTGGCCGATTTTTGTTGATATTTTGATTCTACCCCAAAGTTCAGTTAACGCATCGATTCGCCAAACGAATAGGTGGATACAAGCGAGGGGTATAGCGAGGGTGCCCGCTAGCACCAGTGTTAGATATTCCTGAATTAATACCAATATTAAAAGACAGCTAGAATATTCATAGGAAATCGTTACCAGGCTGATCCAGCAACCCACGTATATGGCAACGCCGTTCAATAGTATAAGTGCAAGGAATACGAAAACATCGAATAGACTGAGATGCCAAACTATAGTGGAATTGGAAGAGTATAGTACCATCATTAGTTGCGAAATATCCTACCGTATCGGAGGAAGGCTATAAGAAGTATGTCGCCCAATACAGCTGCTATAATGTATATGGTTTGTCTTTCACATTTCCAACTCATCCTAGAGAATTTCAGACATTCAACTGATGCTAAACTCAAAGGAACTGTGCTCTTATTCCCACCTCATAGAGCTGCCTGTCCGAATACACATATCCATCGAATTATTAACCCTAATGAGTGCCATCCATAATGTTGGAAAACAAATGAAAACGAATTTTAGTTGTTTGCGGCACTTAACACCAGCTCACGACTTTCCCATTTCGTCTAATGGCCAGCCAGACATATGACTGAAGTTGGAGCTGCAGCTGGAACTGGTGCTGGTGCTGGAGGCCAGGTTTCGGCAAACGGCGTCTGCATGCTTTTCCATTGTGCCGTATGAAATGGCATTTTATTGGATTACTTAATCAACTATGTGTCGGGAGGGGGAAGGGGAAAAGCAGGTAACGAGATACGTAAATTGAGTGGGAAGTTGACTCCCGCGAGGAGTTGGAAAAAGGAATGCGGTGTAACAATATACTCGTATCCAAGGCAAACCAGAAAGTTGGCTAATTTGATTAAATACTTGCTCTTACTTTACTGATTACTGAATTTGCAGTAAGCATATACTTTCATCAACATTCCCCCACTTTCAGACATTCCATTGATACAGAGCTAATTCAAATGCAGGCCCTTGAACATCCTTGAGAGGGTCTTCTCCTAGTCGGGGGCTGCCTATGCAAAGCAGGAGCTGCCGAATGCGAAATGTGTTTTCACTTTTGTACGTTTATCAGACGGGTGTCGCGTTGACTGGTTTTCTGGCTGGCTGGCTGGCTGGCTGGCTGGCTGGCTGGCAAGCGCCACAAGCAGACATGGTGTTCGTAACACAACTGCAATATGGCCAACGGCAACGAATAGCTGCTAGTACGAGAAGCGGCAGTGTAAAGCAGAAAAGGACCCGGGGCCAATTCACGACTCGCATATTGAAAACAAAAACTGCAGTCAGAAACAGAGCTGGGGCTGGGACTGGGACTGGACTGAAGACAGCAACACGTGATGCGGGGGAATTTCGATTGTGCTGATGGCTGAACAGTGGAGACGGTGATGTAGGGACGTGGGGATGTGGAGCGAGTGAAGCAGCTGCCCCAAAGAGCTGGTTGCTGTCGCCCTACAACCCGGTCCAGCTCCAGCTCCAGCTCTAGCTCTGGGTCCAGCCAATGCCTTGATGTGAAGTGAAGTGAAAATGAAAACAAAGTTTAACAAACCGTGGCTAACGAGCTACATTATTAAAACTTGAAAAATGCATAAATTTTCCAGAGACGAACACCCGCCCCGCCGCATATTATAATAGTATAATGCATATCCTGGCATCCAGGCATTTGAAAGTTATTGACACCTTCTACATCCACATTACTCGCTTACCGCCATGTAGATGCTCGTGACGTGATCTTGAGCCCTGCTCAAAAGAGAAACTCCTCCTGCTCCAGCTACAGCCCAGCTCTAGCTGCTCCACACATGTACAAGGTGTTGCAATGCCTCCTCATGATGCACGATCTGCTCAGAGACAGAGACAGACCTTACCTAACCCAACAGCAACAGCAACTGCAACTCTGAATGGAGCGTAATCCGAGTGGAGTTCGAGACTTGCCTGCCAAGTGATTTTGCGCATATTAGTTGCCCATTAGGCGCCCAGCATTGTCAGCTGTGGTCCGGACAGTCCGACGTACAGTGAAAATCGCATTAAAATTCAGTTGGTGTTAAATATTACAAGCGCCCCCTACGCCAAAGGCGAAAAGGTTTCTTTTCGCGTTGATTTGGTGCTGCCAGTCAGGTCGTCCATCAGGCGGTTATAGCCCGCAGCCAGACGCCGTCACAGTCCAGGGAGGATTGGAGGATTGGAGCGGGGGGAGGCCTAGACGGGATCGAGTGTGCAGCTGAGTCGCTTGTGAAATGTTATGGCAACGTGATATGTTAATCATTCAGCCAAAGTCGTGTTTGGTCATATGGATGCGGATGTGGATGTGGATAAACACTTGTTAGGTCACCAACTCCCTGCAGCTGGAGAACCTACTTCTTGGGCTGTGTGACGTCCTCATCTTGTGCATTTGATGATTTACAGCACTGCTGTTGCTTGGGGTTAAATTAGCTGGGAATTATGGGCCAGAGCAAGCTCTAAATCTATCGCACTCTAATCGGGTCCTAACTGCGAGCGGAGACGGCCCACATTTGAGGCGCTCTCAGAGCATAAAGTGCAATTATAGCGGTGCACAGAGAGAGCGATGAACAGGGCCATGAAATACCAACACCCGACAGCTGTAAACAACAATTTGTTGGCCCGACCATAACCGCATCCACATGGACAGCTTAAAAACCCCCAGCCGAGGCAGCGCGGAAAACGTGCAGCAAACACAAAACACAAAACCCAAAATGCCAATAGCTTGCCACAGAGATCCCCGATCCGAGAGAGCTTATAAAAAAGTTATTTAAAACGCCAACGGAGCCAAGTCGGGACGGGCCTGTCCGTTGCCGGTGCCGGGTCCAGGCCAATCCAATCCAACAATGGCAAATGATGATGAGACGTCCGAGTCCGAGTCCAGAGTCGTTTCAGGTTAAACGTTAAACGTTTTGGCAGACGCGCAAAAACTTAGACACAACAGAGACCTGAAGATGAAAAGTTGAATGAAAATACCCCGTACAAACGGAGACAGATAGAAAGACAGACCGACACAGAGACAGACACCCATAGCCAGGAAAGTGCAGAAGAACCGAACGTAATGAGCAAATTTATGGTCAATTGATAATTTAGTGGCATTCGGTATCATCAATTACGGTACTGGATAGCTGGCTGCCTGGCTGCCTGGTTGGATGGCAAAGAATAAGTGGCCCAGACCGAAGACCGACAGAGGTCCAACTCGATCTGGGGCTGCTTGCTGACTCCCTGGCTAAAGATGAGGCATTGTAATGGGGACCAATGAAGCACAAATTTTGCTAAATGTTTCGGTATTCCCTACGCAGAAGTTTCTGCTTTTATTCGAGAACAAGCTTCCTGCTCCCCCACACGCACGCCGATGAAATATGTTTGTGTTGGCATCATCAAGAGCCGTAGCTATATTTTATATAATTCCTTTGAATGTCAAATGCGAGGAAAGGGCACTCGAATTGGGTCAAAGTTTCGGTGGAAATTTCGCTGCATCGTCCGTATCCCCATGCCCATCCAAGTATAAGTACATCCATCTTGGCTTTGTTGTCTAGGCCCTTGCCTCACAATTTAAGTCGCTAATTGAACGCTTGGTCTGACACATGGAATAAATCACACAATTTCCAGCTTGCACCTTGCATACCAGACTCCGACTCGGACTCTTGCTGCACGTCGCCATGTTTATGCCAATAATGTGCCATAAACTATAGGAAGGAGCCGCAGCCAGAGCAGAGGGTCCTCTCTGCTTCGATCTGCCGCACAATGGAGTGCACATGGAGTCCAAAAATGGCCAAACGAAGCGTCGCTGCATGACTGCTGGAGCTGGAGGAGCGGCTTCCTCTGATAAACTTTATGACATTGGAGGGAAGTGGAAGTGGAAGTGCAGCCACTTTGTCAGCAGCCATCCCACAGTGCTGCCAGCACTGGCTCTCTTCTTTCCCTTTTTCTGGTGTATGGAGTACGGCGCTAAAGTTTAAGCATGGCCCGAACTTTACGCACAACTTGCACACATAATTTACCTCGTCCCCGGACCGAACTGAACCGACCCGTACTGCACTCCACTCCACTCTGCGTAATTATTGGCCAGGAGCTGGAGCTGGCGATTCGGATACGAGTACGGATACGGGTCCGGGATGGGTTATATGTGAGTGCATTAGAGGCGACCACAAATTGTTTGGTTTGGTTTGGTTTGGTTTAGCGCAAATTGTAGTCATAACTTCTTCGCGAGCTGCGCCAACTGGGAGCTGTTGCCCCAGCCAACGAGCATCAGACATCGGACTTATTGTACGAGTATGATGCTCAAATGAACCTCGTTTCAACGTCTCCAGCATCGCTTTTAAAGTCAGACATTAAGGAAAGGTTAACTCGGCTTGAACCCATCTCCATTATTCCGCTTTTTGATCAAGGTTGTGAAATAATTTCAATCTTTAACCGGGTTCCGCATCTACTCAAAGTCTATCAAATAATTGCCTAACATTTTTAAGAAAATATTAACTTGTAGAGCTAGATAGCTGATTTAAAGTATAACAATTTAGTAAGAAATCATTTGCCCATGAATATTGCATTGCAACACAAATGCGATTCGCCCAACCAAATGGCTCCCGCCACAATGTGGACGGTAATCGCTTGTGCTGGCAAGTGCCACAAATCCCACATCAATCAAATCTCTCGCTGAGGCGAAATGGAACCTCCTGGCTCAAATAACCGCTAACCGGAGCGGCGTATGCACACAAATACAAATTATAGCGGCCATTAATCGGCCAATTGCACCAGAGGCTTGCGTTTGATTCTGACTATTTAGCAGAAACTTACAGTGGGAAAAATCAAAAGAGCAAAAGAAAGAAAAGAATTGAAAATATTCCTTTAATTATCTTCAATTCCGAGGAATTTGTACATTGTTTGAGGTTCTAACAAGTTTACTAAATCAGTGAGCGGAAAAGTAATACTGCAACTTATTAAATATTACTCTTTTTAAATATATTCAACTAATTTTAATTAAAGGAAAATATGTTTAATTTGGATTTGATATATTTTTAAAAAACTCCTCTCTTAGTATTGATATTTCTGAATCCATATTGGCGTAGTTTTGTTGCCAGTTTTCTGCATCTTTTTGCCACTGTGCGCAGTTGGCATGTGTCCTTTAAAGCTGGATTTGCATGCAGCATATACTGTTATGCCATACCCAACGCCTTCATACCACTAACACATATACAGAGAGCACCTGAGCGAGTTGCAACGAAGAACTTTGACTGGGGGGAGAATGTCTTTTGCTGGTGGGGATGGGGGTCAGGCTGGGACAAACTTGGGGGAGGCCAGCAGGATGTGTCCCTTGCCTTCTACATTGATTTTGTATTTCCAAGGAAGCAGCGCGGAAACTTGTTAGTGCGGCATCCGCTTCAGCCCCACACCCTCTATACACATAAATTGCTTTGCATGCAATTTTCCACGAGCCTCACCTCCCCCTGAAACACTATGAATATATGTATAGACAAGAGTCGGAGTCAGAACCATAGGCGGAGCTACGCCCAGAGACCGGGCTGGGTCCCGGGCTCCTGCCATTGCGCTGGCAAATTGCAATGTAATTAGTTTTACATTTCTATATAGTCGGCAAACGTATAATTGTGGAAAATGGCATTTCTAGTTAATTAATAGCATTTTCTCTACCGCTGCCGCTGCCAATAGTCCACATAGTAGAACCCCATCTGATTCCGAAGGACACCCTTTCTGCACATTTTTTATACCCCTCTGTTCTTGCAGTCAACAAAAAAGTTCAGCAGCTTTTCCCCCCTAGCCTGTTGTCAACCTTTTTGAAAGTTTCTCCCGAATTGCTTGCAAATTTAATTAAAACGTTAGTATTTTCGTCCCCGAGCTGATGTGAGGGAGAATATCATATGACTGCACACAGTGTTGCACTGTTGGACGGGGGACACGCTGCAGGTTTGCCACAAGCTGTTGATTCAATTAAAAACATTTTTCATTCTCATATGCGAATATTCACCTGTTTTTGTGGGCATCATTTAATTTTTGCGCAATCAGTTGCTGATTACGGAATATATATTGAAACAGCCTAAAACGCAGCCTACTTGCATTGTAATTCAGATAATACTTTGGGAAATGTATTCGATATCTCATCCTCTTTACATACTTTGTCAGGTTACAAATTTGCTTAGTGATATTTATTTTTTTATAAGTCGGTAAATCAAAATGGTCTGCGGAGACGCAAGAACTAGGGCTGCGGCGGTCGGAGTATTTGCCATAATATTCGTAATTGTCCTTTTACTTTTGAGTGCATTTTATACTGGTTAGAAAATAATCTTCATATGCGAATGCATCGTTTAACCTATTTATATCCCGTGCTATACCTTAGGAGAGATCGAAAGAGACTGGGCCTACTACCTTCAAGCAGTTCTCTGGTTTCTGATTGTTCCAACCGCCGTTGCTCTGCTGATTGGGATCTATTATGCAAGTAAATGCCTGTGCCATCATATGACATCACTAATTTCGTTCTTATTTCCTATACAGGAAAATAGTTTTATTGTGATGGTATGGCTAATTGTGGCTTCTGTGATCGGAGTCATTTTGGCCATTTTCCACATCATAGCTCTAACGCAACTAATTGACGATAAGGATATTATTTTTTATTCGATTTTTTTTATCATCCACATCGGTAAGCCTGCAGTCAATTTCATTTACAGGACCTGACGGAGTAACTGTCTCTTACAGTTTTTTTTGCGTGTTGTGTTTGGTTTCCATATAAATTCTATAGCACGATCTCTGACTCTGACCCTTACTAGACCGCGGCCATTACATAGTGAATGTGATAAGGACTCGTACTTTATAATAAGTACAAAAATTGTTGATTTTCGAACTTAATAAATCTTGAAGTTGGCGCACCGAGTAATTTTTCATTCTCATATGCAAAAACAGGTGAATTGTTTTTGTGGCCATCATTTAATTTTTGCGCAATCAGTTGCTGATTACGGAATATATATTGAAACAGCCTAAAACGCAGCCTACTTGCATTGTAATTCAGATAATACTTTGGGAAATGTATTCGATATCTCATCCTCTTTACATACTTTGTCAGGTTACAAATTTGTTTAGTGATATTTATTTTTTTATAAGTCGGTAAATCAAAATGGTCTGCGGAGACGCAAGAACTAGGGCTGCGGCGGTCGGAGTATTTGCCATAATATTCGTAATTGTCCTTTTACTTTTGAATGCATTTTATACTGGTTAGAAAATAATCTTCATATGCGAATGCATCGTTTAACCTATTTATATCCCGTGCTATACCTTAGGAGAGATCGAAAGAGACTGGGCCTACTACCTTCAAGCAGTTCTCTGGTTTCTGATTGTTCCAACCGCCGTTGCTCTGCTGATTGGGATCTATTATGCAAGTAAATGCCTGTGCCATCATATGACATCACTAATTTCGTTCTTATTTCCTATACAGGAAAATAGTTTTATTGTGATGGTATGGCTAATTGTGGTTTCTGTGATCGGAGTCATTTTGGCCATTTTCTACATCATAGCTCTAGCGCACTTGATTGAGGATATCGATATTATTGTGGCTTCGATTTTTTTTATCATTCACATCGGTAAGCCTGCAGTCAATTTCATTTACAGGACCTGACGGAGTAACTTTCTCTTACAGTTTTTTTTGCGTGTTGTGTTTGGTTTCCATATAAATTCTATAGCACGATCTCTGACTCTGACCCTTACTAGACCGCGGCCATTACATAGTGAATGTGATAAGGACTCGTACTTTATAATAAGTACAAAAATTGTTGATTTTCGAACTTAATAAATCTTGAAGTTGGCGCACCGAGTAATTTTTCATTCTCATATGCAAAAACAGGTGAATTGTTTTTGTGGCCATCATTTAATTTTTGCGCAATCAGTTGCTGATTACGGAATATATATTAAAACAGCCTAAAACGCAGCCTACTTGCATTGTAATTCAGATAATACTTTGGGAAATGTATTCGATATCTCATCCTCTTTATATACTTTGTCAGGTTACAAATTTGTTTAGTGATATTTATTTTTTTATAAGTCGGTAAATCAAAATGGTCTGCGGAGACGCAAGAACTAGGGCTGCGGCGGTCGGAGTAATTGCAATACTAATCGCAATTGTCAATTTAATTTTGCAACTTATTAATAGTAAGTAAATAATCTTCATATGCGAATGCATCGTGTAACCTATGTATATCCCGTAATATACCATAGGAGAGATCGAAAGAAACTGGTACTTCTACCTTCGAATGGGGATCTGGATTCTGATTGGTCTAACCGCCGTTGCTCTGCTGATTGGGATCTATTATGCAAGTACATGCCTCTGCCATCATAGGACATCACTAATATCGTTCGTATTTCCTATACAGGAAAATAGTTTTATTGTGATGGTATGGCTAATTGTGGCTTCTGTGAACGGAGTCATTTTGTCCATTTTCTACAACATAACTCTAGCGCACTTGATTGAGGATATCGAAATTATTGTGGTTTCGATTTATTTTATCATTCACATCGGTAAGCCTACAGTCAATTTCATTTACAGGACCTGACGGAGTAACTTTCTCTTACAGTTTTTTTTGTGTGTTGTGTTTGGTTTCCATATAAATACTATAGCACGATCTCTAACTCTGATCCTTACTAGACCGCGGCCATTACATAGTGAATGTGATAAGGACTCGTACTTTATAATAGGTACAAAAATTGTTGATTTTCGAACTTAATAAATCTTGAAGTTGGCGCACCGAATAATTTGGATTTGCGGAACATGATTTAAGGTGCGGGGCGTAATTTCGTTGTTACATCCCATATACTTGTAGGAGAAGTCTTTTTTCGTGCTAATATCGTTGTAGCTTTCACATTGGAAGGAATTCGGCAGTCGTATTGCTAACTATCATCATGATCGGTAAGCCTGGATTCCATTTCGTATGTTGTCTGATAGATCAACTTTCTGTTGCAGCATTTTAGGATTTTGCATTTGCATTCCTGCCAAATACGTTTGGACGATGATTTAGGTCGTAAATATCGGCCGTCATTATCAATATAATTCTGTGAGTTCAATAAATCCTATAGTTTTCTTAATATCCAAACACCGACGTCTTTACGTTCCATGTCAGTTTTATGACAGCTATCCGAAAAAATCCCAACTCCGGAATGTGTTTGTCGGTGGATGTCGGTGGCCAGAGTAAATGCTATGCGATCGCAATATGTGCATTCTTTTATGGATTATTGGATATTTCGGTAAAGAGCTACTGTCTCGGTAATAAAATATTTCCGAACGTTAGTGCCCATAACACCATTCTGCTCCATTTTTTTTCATAGTCAATGCCGAATCCGAACCATTTATAATCATTGGACTCTCGGCTTGGCTTCCGATTCTTTTAGCCGCCAGTATCCTGTTATTGGGCGCCTGCCAGGCAAGTACCAGGGCCACTCGGCCACCCAGGATTTCTCCACTAAATGTTTTCTCCATTAGGAGAGTCGTATGCTGGTGCAGATGTCGATCGTGGTGGCTGTGTGTGGTGGTTGCTTATGGATAATTTCGAGCATAGGGATGCTCATTAATACATTGGCGCAAAAAGATATTTTAATTGAAACAGTGATGCAAACTATTTCCCTTTTACTTTTCATCGGTTTGTAGGCTAATCCGAAAACATTTTCGGCTCAGTAACTCAGAGCATTCTCTTTCAGGTCTGATCGGGTTTGTCGTATATTTTCCATATAGGTATTTGAAGGAACTGGAAAGATAAGCTCAACAAAAAACTGCTTTTTTTGGTTAATTTGGAATAAGTCACAATACCTCGGAGTTATCCAAATGGCAATGGTAAAATTTGCATAAAATAACAATAGACGACAACAAATCAAATGCGAATAGACAGACACAGACACAGACCCAGGCTTCGGCCTCGCCCTCGGCGGTGGCACCCTGTAGTAAGGCAGCCGCAAATAGAAAGTGAAAATCAAATACGAAATGCTACCGTTTATTTTTGTATTTTGTATTTTCCCCCATTTTCGTACTGTGTTTATTTGTCGAGCGCCTAATTTAAATAAACATTTATTTGTACAAAGGCCTTAATACGTTGGGAAAATGACTTCCTGAATTGAACCGAAAGCGGCGCAAAAGCCGACCAAATACTGTCTGCAGCCAGGCCAAATTTCATAATCGGTGGAACAAATGCAGCGGATTATGAAATCCTTCGCTCAAAAGGCTGCCAGGCAGCAGCTCCGAGCACGAGCAGAATGGCGGAGGTTAGCGGAGTGGAGTCTGGGGGACTGGATGCCGACCTGGCAACAACCTGTCGCATATTTAAACCGATTAACGGCACGATTCCAGTCGCCGGTTGCCAGCCGTGGCATAGAAATGGAAATTGAAATGCTTGTGGCAGTGCCAACACTCTCCGGCTTGCTGTTGTTCCTCTGCCACTAAATCGCATGGATGCGGAGTGGTCCCAACATGGCCAAGTATGTTGTGCACTGGTATCTGGACGGTGTCCTTTATCTAAAGGCCCCACAAGATCTGATCTTTACATGAGAAAATAACAGTTACCAGACAATCTGCATCTCTATCTAATATCAAAGTCTTTCATTGGGATCTTATTACAATGAACCCCTCTTGACAACTGCAGTGTATACTGCATTCGGTCCTACTGCCTGTAGTTTTTCTTATACGAGTATAGTTTTATTTGAATTTTCGTCGGAACGGCGGGCGGGGTTGGGGGGAAAATTCGTGTCTCTGGCGCCGCAACAGAATTGAAAACGTTTGTAAATACTTTCCAAGCATTTGCAGCAATTGAACAAATACAAAACAGCCTGGGCAGCCGTTGCAGTTGGAAAATTGTGAAAAAATAAAATAATATATTGTGGCACAATGCTGGTATAAGGCTCACAATTTCCATTGTTGGCTGTGAATTTCTTGCCCTGACCTATAAATAAAGTTGGCAGCCCAACAACGGTTTGCCCAGAAATGGCAAACAGCGCAAACTGTGCAATAAAAGCGTATAATGTGAATATAACAACCGCGAAGCCTGATTTCCGATTGGGCTTTGAGTATCTTTTCCCTTTTCCCCATTGCTTTTCCTTTGGGCCGAGCTTGCCAGCAGATTGACTCTTGACCTCAGCAGATTGGGACCAATTTTGTCATTGCTTTGGGTCGAGATTTGTTCGTAATTGTGGCAGCAAAAAATGCCTAAAATGCCTGTCTAAAAAATGCCATAAAAAACACTCGACTATCTAACATTTATCGGTACTTTTAATATCTATAAATAACATTAAATCTTTCCTCTCGCAGCGGACGCTCCTCAAGTCCTGTCAGAGCCAGAGCCAAACAAACCACCTTTCCCAGAAATAACTTCATTTTTCAGAACGAACCCATTTACAAACTGACGCTAAACGGAATGGATCGGATGGAACCAATCGATTGCAACCAAGACAAAAACTCTCTCAACTTCTTACTTAGGAATCTTATCTCTTCTCCGCCTGATGCCCGAAACAGCCGGCGAAAGCGATTCTTAAATGCCTTTCAATGCACCCTAGTTATCCGGGGAATTTTCATCCGCTTTCCATGCTCTACTAGCTTTTCTAACTGCCTGCCCAGACAGGATCTTTTGCGGTTGAAACTGTACAATCCCGGAAAAGCCGCAGAATGCCCCGTCTGCTGCTTTGAGCTGGATGCATTCTGGAAACATTTCCCAGTTTCTGGCCATCTATAACGTTTAAATGACAAAAGCTTTTATCTGCTCCGATTACACAATTTAAAGCAGGAACACTGTCACCTTAAATGCAATAGACGATGCCTTGGATGGGTGGCAAGCGGCACATGGCAGGGCAGATGCGAATGTATGGACACCTGAGAGCAGCTCGAACCACTAGAATGGCTGCTGTGGTTGCAGCACCGCAACATTGTTGCCAAAAGCCAACGTAACCCAAGCCAGGACAAGCCATCATCCCCCTCGCCTATCTATCCTTCCGGCAAGCGACATCTAGCAGAGGCACCTATCCTGGAAGCGTAAGCTAACTCGGCTTAAATAAATTTAATTTAATTACCAGTAAAAACCGCATGAGTAACTTCCGCTGGAGATGAGAGCCGGGCCAGGACAACCTTATCTCTCAGTCACTCCGGACTCCACCCACAAGTGGGGCACACACAGCCCCATAACCTGCCTCTCGGCAGTTACCTGATGATGGTGGTGCGACACCACACTCTCCCTACTTATACATCTATCCCTCTTTCTGTTTATTTAGGAAATAACATTTTTGTGGCAACACATTTTTAGATTTTATTACAGCTTGAGCCACGTTGAGTGCTTTTCGCACTCTCGTACATTCACTCTACTGCTGCTGCTGCTGCTCTGTTGAGGTCAACATGCATTTTATCATTTTAAATAGCAGCAACAACTAGGTGTACGAGCACTCGACACTCGACGATAAATAACCTTAATGTAGTTCCCTGCCTGCCTGCCCCTGCCACTGCCACACCTGCTGGTTTAATTACAAGCGGCAGATGCGGATTTCAAAGCATACTTTCAGGCGGCACTGAAAAAAGTGCTCGAGAAAGTGTAGTAGAAAAACGGGCTGCTGCCGTCACGCTGTGTGGGTGCCGCCCGGGGCAAGGTCAAGTCAGCTGTAACCAAGGCCTGGCCCAGGCCACCCACTCCCCACTCGTGACGACAATAATGCAAATTGGCCTCGCACTTCCTTAGCGAGTGTGTGTGTGTGTGTGTGTGTGTGTGTGAGCCCAGGCTGGCAAATACTTGAGCGGCGGCTTAGCGGAGGAGCTTAGGTCGCCACTCGAGACACATTACCCACTCACCCACAACGTCACTCGCACACAGCTCTCGGGAGGCCAAGACAGAGGACTACAGTCCACTGAGAGAAAAACCTCCAACTTGAAGGTTGAAGATAAACGAGTACGAGAGAATTTCGAGCTCAAAAAGAGAATCAGAAAATCTAAGCCATATTCCCCGAACAAGGAATAAGTATACCATCAGAAATGCAATTTCGAGGCCTTTTTTTATCTCAGTGTTTTCTGTTGTTTGAACTTGGAAATGGGAAAGCCCTGAGACAGCTGGACTAAGCGACTATAAACCCGTTTAATCTCCATTTGAACTGATTTCAATAGCTGAATCCTTTTCACACGCTCGATCCTCTTTAACATATCGTATAAATATGCATCCCAGTGTGGGAACTGCTTAAGTGCAACCTTGACTACGCTCCTCATTCCATAGTGACATTCCGGACATTGCGAGAGCAGGAGAGAAGTGGTCTCCATGTCCTAGTCGCCGTTGCCTGGTAACCTAGTTTAGTAAATAAATCGCAATTTTTTTCGTATTTTTGCCGGAGCCTCCCCCCCAGGAGATTCGGGTGTGTCCCTTTGTCTCCGGCAAGTCATTCATGTGTGCAATCTGTGGGTGTGACTAATTCAATTACAACGCCCAATTGTGCATGCCCCGGCACTCCTCTCCCTGTCCCAATCCCTGTCGCTGCCTCTCGCCTCTTGCTGCCTGCCGCATGGCACTGACTCTCTCGGTCCTACTAAGCGAGCGTTTTGGATAGTGATTTTTCATTTCATTTTCACGCTTTCACTCTGTGCATGTGCTGCAGGTACGAGCACGAGCACGAAGTATGGGAATTGTGTTCGAGAATTACATTAGGTTTTGATTCAGCTTCGCTCACCGTTACCGTTAGCGTTACTGTTCCCACCTCCGTGCAGTGGGAATGTGCCACGTTTCGTGTCACCCTAGGACTTAATT